TATGAATATTCTATGGAAAAAAGCCGCTAAAAGGGTCTGAAAGTTGCTAAATCTAGTGCTAAAGTCACGCTTGTGTGTGTGATACGCGGGAGCTGATGGCAGCGGGCGGTGGATATTTGTGGCGGTCAATGTGGATATTGTGGATGAGTTCTTCTGTGTCATCACGTTCTATTAGTTCTACAGCTTCAGTTTCTGAACTTTCACGCTTAGTAACACATACAGCTGCTCCCTCACCACAGTGCAACAGTGAAAAGGGACCCCTTTCAAACAGTGTCGCGTTCCGAACGTTGTTTAAGCGACATACAACGGTATTGCGGTATTCATATCATAACAAAAATAAACATTCGGTATTCGGTATGAACCGGTATACCGCCCAGCACTACTTCTCAACATCAGAGCAAAACAAAAAGAAGCATTTTTCTAGCTTAGCATCTACAAGGTCATGGATTCGATCCCCTCGGAATGCAACTGATAAAATGTCATTGCAATGTGAGTCACTTTGAATAAAAGCACCTGCCAAACGCACAAATTTAACTGTGCAAGTCGATGTTGCATCAGACAAGTTTTTGATTTATAATCCTAAAATATATGTAAAACGGTTATGTGAAACTAAATTCTCTTTTACTGCAAGAAGCAAAACATAGCATTATAATCAGAGTTAGGTGGGGAAGAACATAAGGTCAGGTTAATTCACCTGAGATGATGATTGGACAGTTTCTCCATGATTGCGATGGTCATTTTCTCTCCCACCACCAGCAGGAAGGTCACCACGATGTCATGATAACCCTGATAATAGTGCAGCTGAGGATTTCTCCTCAAAACATCCAGAATGATGTCGATCAGCTGCTCCTGGAGAACCTCTCGCTCATCCACACGCATGCCTGAGAACGATCACACCACCATAAAAACAAGCATATTACTAAAAAAAAAGCACTGTTAGATGGAAATGAATTATTCCATTTCAGTAGGATCAAACACACTCGGCAGACATAATGACGTGTAAAAGTCTCCCTGATTATTGCAGCTTCAAACCTCAACTGTCCAAATATCACATGGGAAGCTCAAGGTATTTGTGTTGGGATAGATAACACACAATCGATGCATTGTTCTGAATTCACAGTGAAAGAATGTCACCGAAGGACACTGGAAAGGGTGGTGATTATACAAGCAAAAATTTATATGAAGAAGAATATTGAGATGTTCTCAATGAGGTCTAAAAATTTGTGACCACAGTGAAAATATGGGATAAAAAAATAATAAAAAATAAATAAAATAAAAATTAATTTAAACCTGAAAATATAGAACATTTTAGGGTTGAAAAAAAAACATTAAATGAATTTTTAAAAAATCTTAAGCATATATATCTCTCTAAAATTTTATATAACTCAAAGGTCAGGAGATCAAATGTCTACATTGAAAATCTGGGATTAAAAATCTAATTTAACTCAGGAAATAAAGAACATTTTAGGGTTAAAAAAACGATATGAAACAAAACTACAATAAAATTTATTTAAAAAATATATAAACTATAAATATCTTATTTCTTACAACTTTTGATTTGCTTTGTTGCATTACTCATTTTAAGTTGGTTGGGATAAAAGCATCTGCTAAATGAATAAATGTATGCTGTAAATATTTCACTAACCTCTAATCAATCAAAATGTATACTGATAATATAATATGCCAAGGAAATTGTTTGACTTTTTTTGTTTTGTTTTTGTTTTTTAAAGTCATGTAATTTTACAATGAAAAACATAATTCTTTGTCAAATCCAATTTTTCACATTTTAGATGTCAAATTCTATGGCATACTGGACATCAAAATTTATTAGAAATATTAATCACAATTTTGCACTCTAATTGTTATGTTCTACTGATAATATAATTAATATTTATGTTATCCAGGTTATTCAAATATTATTGAAAAAATAAATGGAAGAAGTTATTGACATAAAATTGTTTGGCTTAATTTATTTATTTATTTCATTTTAAAAACATCACGCAATTTACAATAAAGAATTTTTTAAAAAATTTGTCAAATCAGAATTTTCACATTTTGGATGTCAGATTTTATGGCATACTGCACATTAAAATGTACAAATGCTGACAGTTCTGATAGTAAGTATGTCTCAAAACGGTCCAGAGTGACTGGATCAAATCATGTGATGGTGTGTCATGTTCTTTGACTCGTTTATCACATACTGACCTTTCGGGAAACGTCGCATTGATCTCCTGACATCGAGCACCACCTGTCTGTAGTCTCTGTGGTCTTCTCGGACATCTTTGGCTTTAAATGAGGGAAATAAGAAAAAAGTTTTTAAAAAAAATAATAATAAAAACACTGACGTTTTTGTGGTACGTTCCACACGCACAAACACACACTTACAGGGTTTGGCAGGCAGATTGTACACATTGATGCTGAGGAGTTTGGGCCAAACTTTTCTTCTAATGTCATCCGTCAGCAAACCGCCTTCGCTCACAGCCGCCCGCCGCAGGCTCTCGATGTCCACGGGGTCACTGTTCAGGGCCTGATGGATGTCCAGGAGCTTCTGTTTCTTCCAGGGCAATTGTTCTGCAATTAAAATACAAACGTATGAGACAGGATGCGAAATTAACTCTCAACATACAGCAAAGTAAATGCCCAGTTTCTTGGAAACTGAGCATTGTATGGCTTAATCCAGTGGTTCTCAGGCTCCCTCTAGTGCAGTGTTTCTCAACCAGGGAGGTCCTTGACGTAAGGCTCTGTATAAAGTATGAATTTTTGTGACATGACATGTTCCCCCCATGAAAGAAAAATCCAATATAGCTGATGATATGGCCAAATACTGGATAAGTCAACTAATCTGAATTATACTTGACTGCATTTGGTCCTCACAAAGATACAAATGATACATAGATGAGTCGATTTTGTTCTGGGGGTCCTTGAGGATGGTTCTGAATTGGACTGGGGTCCGGTACGCCAAAAGGTTGAGATTCACTGCTCTAGTGGTACCCAGAGGAATCACTAAATTAAATATAAATTAATGTTAAAACGCAATACATTTTAATTTAATCTTTATTTGAGCTTTTTATTGACCTGTATGTAAGCACAGTACAGTGTTAATGTTCAAACTGTGTATTTACAATGTTAAAGTGGCTGACAACAATAAATAATTATTATTAGGAATAAAACTGCCTCGTTTTTTAACTGTGCAGAGCTGTAGCTGAATAGTTAGGCCTAGTACGCTACTGTATTTTAATGTTGGTCGTGCTTGGAGTGCCAAATATTTTCTGAAGTGGTACTTGGTATAAAAAGTTTGAGAACCATTGGCTTAAATCACAGTGCAGGAATAAACACTGTAACCAGAGCTTCATGTAGAGATATAATTATGTGGTTAAGCCAACAAAACTAAATATGAGGAACAAAATCATGATGCACAATAACACACCCAATATACAGTAATCTCTTGATTATTTGAATCATGAATTAATGAAAATGATAACCCATTAGCTTATACATTATACATTTCTCACTCATTCATTCATTGACAACATAATGGACCGGAACCGGTACCTTCATGTTTCCCGACGGCAGCCGGCAGTCGCTTCCTCGCTTTTTTCATCTCTTAACGCGACTCACAGTCACGAGGATATCAAGTACATACTTTCCTGATGATTAGAAGATAGTTTTAATTTAAAACTGACCGTAAAAACCAAAGGAAAGTGACGGTTATGATTCTCCTCAGATCGGCGTCGAGACGTGAGTGCTGGTCACCCGAGCTTTACTCTCACTGGCTAAACGCCGGTGAGTCACTCAACCAACCCTGACTGCTGTCAACGTCTCTCCTGATTGGTTTAAAGACATCGAGAGGCTCGACGCCATTGGCTCATTTCAAACGTGATTCACACCTGCCCATGGTGACAGACATGCGGTGTGTTTGTATTTACATTAGTTATGTAATATATCACTGACTGACTAAGTTTAACATATTATATTATATTATATTATATATTATATAGTTTTTGATAAAAGCGTTTTTTAAATGACTAAATGTAAATATTATATTATATTATTATATTATATTATTAATCTTATAGAATATAATAATAAAAATATATAAATATTATAGAGAGAGAGCGCGCAATTATTATTTATTAATAAGTACAATTTAAAAAATAATAATAATTACCTAAATAAATTATATAATATTATAAAATATAAAATAAATGATGTTTTAAATAATACATTTTCATACAATAATAACACTGTCACTTCTAAATGTACTACTAATCATCATTACCATCATTTGGATTAAAACATTATAAGATGTAACCTAGGGCAAAATAAATAAATAAATAAACAATTGTAATCTCAGAACATCCTGTGCAATAAATCTAAATATCTTAGACAATCCGATGTCTGTCTCATATCAGAGATAAAGCAAAGTATATTTCTTGATATGATCTTCTTAAAAGCACATCAAATACAACAAACAGGGCAAATATTAAATGGAAAACGCACATTATTCTAACCTGAACTTGTGTCTACATTACACAAGTAAGGCCTAACTTGTCAGATTTATAGAAACTTTCCAAATTCATCTTTGTGTATGCTTTGGATAGCTAAAACAATACATGTAATTAGTTAGTTATTTGTGTATTAGGCCTATATATACAGTATATATATATATATACACTCTAAAAAAATGCTGGGTTAAATACAACCCAGTGCTGGGTAAAATAGGGAGAAACCCAGCAATCGGGTTCTTTTGGCCCAGAGGTTGGGTTACTACCTAGAAGGTTGTGTTTAACATTTAACCGCTGGGTCAAAACAGCCCAATTGCTGGGTTTGTCCCTATTTTACCCAGCACTGGGTTGTATTTAACCCAACATTTTTTAGAGTGTACATATGATATATAGCCTATAATTGTATCACCAACGAAACACAAAGTTCTTTATAAGTATAAACGCCGATCATTGCATGAGAGCAAATGCGTTTTATGACAAACTGTTGGCAAAACAAATCACAGCGATGCTGGCGACGACGCCTTCAGGTCAAATGTGTTATTCAACTATAATGTTTCTGACTTGATACATGAGCAGATGTCTCTCTCTCCACAGCTAGAATCTAGACAGATAGCGAGAATGATGCTTGTATACTGTAACACTGACACATGTGCAGGGATGTAGGCCTATGCCATTTTATTTGACTATTATTTATGCAATATTATGTTCAGTTATCATTTTAATTTCAGTTTAAGTTTTAGTCATTTTGTTATGTGCAATGTTATATTTCATTGTATTATTATTTCTATTGATCTTTATTTATTTTAATATATATTTTAAATTAATTTTTCATCTGGTATACTTTCTTTTATTTCAGCTTTATTTCAGTTAACGAAAACTATTTTTTTGATAGTTTTAGTTAACAATAACATCACTTTATTAGACATGTACCCTGGTAATTTCATAATGTACTATAATATTAACACTGTAACAGTAATAATATACTGTACAAATGCAGAGGCATATTGGCAGTGCTATTTAATGTAGTATTTTTATTCACCTGTTAGGTGAAATTTATTATATTTTATACTTATTTTTATGTAGCTTTTTATATTTCAGTTTCATTTTAGTAGTTTTTGTGCTTCAGCTTTGATTTATTTCAGTTATTTTCCGAGGCAACCTTTTAATTCTAAAAAGTTTTTTTAAAAGCTTCTTTTTTCAAGTTTAAGTTTTTCATTTTTATTTCAGCTTTATTTAAATTACCGAAAACTACTTTTAATAGTTTTAGTTAACAATAACAACACTGTTTATTGGACATGTAATTTCATAATGTACCATAATAGTAACACCATAACCATACCAAAGCAAGTGCATTTATTTAAAAGACAGCACAAGTGCACTTTTAAAGCAAAATATCTGACAGAAAGAAGCTTGCCTGGTTGCAAATGATCATATAGTGATATAAAATTCTTATACATCCATGCATATTTGCTGATTTTCTAGTTGTAACCAATGACAAACATATGGATTTCAGTTTTGTTAAACATTTTCTGTATGCACATATTCAGTTACTAATACATTCAGCATTTGGTAGTCACTAACTATAAGTTTAATTAATGCTCTGTACCTTGGAAGTGAAAATGTAAAGTGAAGTGACATGTGGCCAAGGTGACCCATACTCAGAATTAGTGCTCTGCATTTAACCCATCCAAAGTGCACACACACAGCAGTGAACACACACCCGGAGCAGTGAGCAGCCATTTATGCTGCGGCACCCGGGGAGCAGTTAGGGGTTCATTGCCTTGCTCAAGGGCACCTCAGTCGAGGTATTGAAGGTGGAAGAGAGTGCTGTACATTCACTCCCCCCACCCACAATCCCTGCTGGTACGAGACTCAAACCCGCAACCTTTGGGAGGTTACCTAACTCTCTAACCATTAGGCCACGACTTCCCCCTTCATATGCACACTGAAGATTTGCAGGAAGGTTTATGGAGGTCAGGACTGCGAAATGGTGCAAGCGCGCACATGGAGTAATCACAGTATCATAACTCCAGCAGCAGTCAGTCACATACAAAACCCGCAACCTTTGGGAGGTTACCTAACTCTCTAACCATTAGGCCACGACTTCCCCCTTCATATGCACACTGAAGATTTGCAGGAAGGTTTATGGAGGTCAGGACTGCGAAATGGTGCAAGCGCGCACATGGAGTAATCACAGTATCATAACTCCAGCAGCAGTCAGTCACATACAGTATTTCACTTCAGTTGATGGCTCACTCTGGTCTGCTTGGGATTGAAGCTGTGACCGTTGTGTTAAAAGCACTGAAGGCTAATCATGATTCTTCCTCAAGCCTCCTAAACCGAGAATGGAAGTGAAAGAACTTGTGTAATGCTGGTTCTCCTTTCCGTGCATGTGTCAAACTCAGTTAGGTTTTAAATGACATTCACAAAAACCATAACAGACACGTTCAGAACAACTAGCACACTGTTCCTGTGTAATATATACTGTACAATGCACATTAATCTTCACATTTGCAGTATACTGTATATAAAAGTACACAAGAGGTGTAGTGTTATAGTTTTTATTATTATTTTGAATTAGCTTTTATATTTATACTTTTAGCTTTTATTGTAATTTGAGTTTAAGTTTTAGTCATTTGTCATTTTATTTGTTTTTATATTTTAATTAATTTTAATGTATAAATATATATATTTTTTAGGTTTAATAATTTTGGTACTTCAACTTCTAATTTTGATACTTCTTTCTAATTCTTTTAATATTTTTCACTTAATATTAATATTTTTAATTTATAGAATTTTAAGTTGAATAATTTTAGTACTTTAATTTCATTTAGTTGTCAACATTTCTAATCTTTTAACTTTAAGGTTTTTCTTTAATATGAATATTTATATTTATTTCAGCTTTTAGAAGTAGCGAGAACTATTTTAATCGTTTTAGTTAACGTTAACAACACTGATGTAGATCTCTTCAGGTAAAGGTGTGAAGGTTGAGCCACTCCTGGTAATGAGCTGTTGTCAAGTGAAATCACTGATAAAACCGATAAGATCAACATGGCCTCAATCTTTAATAACCTTTATCAATCACTCCTCATACACTCAAACACAGAGTGAGATTGCTCAAACTCTGGCATTTCGTCACCCATTTCAACATTTACTTGTTCTCAATCAGTGTCTTACAGTATAAACTCAGTGTCAGGGATGCTATGATGTCTGAATGTCATTGCATCAGATAGCGACATATTGAGTGTAAATGCACTCAAATGCTGCAGGATCTTTTCTTGGAATTTCTTTATGACACTTGGTTGATATGTTATTTCTTGCTATGGCATTCAGACATTTTAAGTGTCCAAATACTTTTCTGGGCTGTAGTCTGAAGCCTTTAATATCTGTTATATCAGACCAGAAATACATATGCACAACTTATTGGTAAAAAGCATGCTTGACTCATTTTGTCTGTCTCTTCAGCTGCCATAAGCTGCAGGAGTCGCTGCTCAGCTCCAGTAGCGGCTACAGCAACTACAGAGGAATCCTCAACTGGTGTGTGGTCATGCTGGTGAGTCTCCAGAACATGTAATGTCCAATATTACATGTCCATAAAATATCCATGTTTTCTCTAGATGATAACAGATTTGGAAAAATGTAGCATTACATCACTTGCTCACCAATGGATGCTCTGCAGTGAATGGGTGCCGTCAGAATAAGAGTCCAAACAGCTGATAAAAACATCACAATAATCCACAAGTAATCCACGCCATCAATTAACATCTTGTTTAGTCAAAAGCTGCATGTTTAATAAGTCATTTTAACTTGTGAACAGTGCTTGATCTGTGCATATTTCTCTCCTGATTCGGACGAGTTTCACTGGAGAAAGTAATATTACGGATAGGACTCATATTTTAGCCCGAAGAAAGTAAAAAATATCTTGATGGATTTGTTTCTTACAAACATGCAGCTTTTTCACTTCACAAGATGTTAACTGATGGACTGGAGTGGTGTGGATTCTGACGGCACCCATTCACTGCAGAGGATCCATTGGTGAGCAAGTGACGCAATGCTACATTTCTCCAAATCTGTTGCCATGAAGAACCCACATTCAAGCCATTATTCCACGAAAACCATCAGTTTGGTTTGAAAAAGCATGTAAAAGTAAGACTTTTCAAAGTGTATCGGTATTGTAAGATGACTGTGCCAGTGCTATGTTTAGGCCCTCGCTGTTACCTGAACATAAATACTGACACTCAGTTGGCCTTGAACCTTTGAATGGCTTCGGTCTTAGCACACTGGTTATTTTTGTTCTCTCTTCTGCTGGAATCTTTCCCTGTGTTTGTCCTCAGATGCTCTAGAACAACAGAAATGAAATCTAGATGGAACCATCTAGTAATTCATCATGCATTTGCCTGAATGATCAAAAAGACTATGTTTGCCCTTCATCGCGGTCATACACGTCAGGTTCATTCTGGGCTATTGTGAACAAAATAGGATTGAATCGAGTAAGAATTTGACCTTTATCCTTGGCTCCGGTCTCGTATAATCATATGACACAATGCCAGACGTATTAGTTACAGAGTAAGATTTCTGCAGTGGAAACAGAGAGAAGTGACTGAAGTTTAACTCAGGTTGTTGTGACAGCCTCGATTCACATGAGTTCCCACATTAAACCGTACAATTCAACCCAGAGGGTGTTTATTCCTCCGCTCGCTTGCTCTCTCTCTCTCTCTCTCTCGCTGTCTGTTTGTTTGTCCTCTCAAAAGAAGCAACAGCAAGGCGTAATTTTCTAGTCGCTGTTGGAGGTTTAATGCATTCATTTCGTGTTAAGTGTCAAAGAGAGTTCAGACTCAAAAATACTAACAAAAATGACCATGCATAACTTGTTTTATCGGCAGTGTTATTTTAGTGCTATTTATATAATATAATGTTATAGATATTTTAATTTTAGTTTGTTGTTTTGTTAAACATTATTTTATTAGTTGTATTTCACTTTAATTTATTTGTATTTCACTTGTAGTCATTTCAGTACTTTAAACTTAAACTTATTAATTTCAGGTAGTTGCCAAAGCAACATTTTTGTTTTTTTTAGGTTTAAGTTTTTCATCTAAAATGTATGTTTTATTTGATTTCAGCTTGATTTTAGTATTAATTAGACCTATATAATATTAAAATATTGTTAATATTTTGAATTAGCTTTTATTTTAATATTTTAAATTTTAGTTTTAGATTAAGTTTTAGTAATTTTGTTATGTGATTTTGCCTTTTTTTTAAATGTTTCTATTTAGTTTTAATGTGTTTTTATTTCAATATTAGTTGAAATAAAAATGTTATTAGTAATATTAGTCATTTTAGTACTCAACTTAAACTTAGTGGTTGTGAACTTAAACGTTTTTCATCTAATATTTATTTTATTTTAGTTCATTTTTGACATTATTTCTTTCATTTCAGTGACTGAAAAGGGTTTTGAATAGTTTTAGCTTCAACCCAAACTTATTTCAGTTACTTTTCCAAGGTAACTTGTTACTTTTTTGTTGTTGTTTTAAGTTAAAAATTGTCATCTATTATTTGTTTTTATTATATTTCAGCTTTATTTCAATTACCAAAAATTATTATTTAGTAATTTAGTATTTTTAGTACTTCAACCTTAACTTATTTATTCCGGATAGTTGCAAAGGCAGCTTTTTAAGTTATAAGGTTTTTTGTTTGTTTAAGTTTTTAATCTAATATTTGTATTTTATTTTATTTCAACTTTATTTTATTTACCAAAAAAGATTTGTAATACTTTTAGTTTTAGTTAACAACACTACAACACTGTTTATTGGACCTATACCCTGGTAATATCATAAGATACCATAATATATATATACATATATATATATATATACCATAATAGCAGCTGCATAAAATAAATCTCACAGGAGATTGGAAAGTGTCTTGCTGAAACCCTTTGGCTGTCCTAGAGTGACCTTTGACCCACTAACAGATCCTGCCAGCTCCATCGGCAGGCTATAAATACAGTGTCAATGACTCTGACAGTTAATATTCTGAGGATGTATACGCTAATGCTACAGGGACGCCACTTATGATGATATGTCAGTCAAAAGACAAACCGTCCTTCAAGTCAATCTCTGTCTGTCAGAGCGATCGGCAAAGTCTTAGAGCTTCTCTTCTCTGCTGTAATGAAAAGTCAAACACTTCCTGGGATTGCTTTAATGAACGCTCAGAAATGTCACCCGTCCTCTAAAAATAAACATCTATTTCTCCCTGAACCGCCGAGAAACTGGAGCAGCATCTTCAAAGCCATGGAAAGCAAATCACAGTTCTGAAACCAATATTAATCCTCGCTTTGAAACGCCATCGCATTGACGCTCTCTATGGGATTTAGCTTTTACTCCGTTTAATTTTTTGTACCATATTCCCATGGAATATCCTCAAATGCTTTGAATCCATTGATGGATAATTATGAAAGTCCAGTAGAAAGTGATTTCGGCTGGAGGAAATAGATGGAGAGCAACAGCGGGGTCCTGAAAGTCAAACTCTCATTAGTTTCTCCATAGAGAAAGACATTTTTAATAATAGTCAATAAACCTTTCAAAACAGAGCTTGGAGATTTTAAAGTGACAGTATTTTATATGGAAAGTCAGTGTTATTTCAGTGTCTTTTCTTTTTTTTAATTGTTTAATTGCTGAAATCATCCACCAATCAGGTTGCTGCTACCATGGAAATCTTGGTCTCTCTACACGATCAAATTGCTTGTATTTATGTACAGTAAAAAAAATTTGGTGTAGAAACAATTTTAACTCGGAGATTGCTAGTAAATTTCACAAACAATTGCAAAGAAATGGCAAGTAGCCCATTGAAATGAACATGAAATTTTAAAGTAAAATTGTATTTTCTTGTTAAATGTATATGTACTCAAATAATTTTTACAGGTTACAACTTTGAAAATAATTTTTTTTACAGTATTTATGTAGAATAACAAATAATAAATCATTTATTTATATATATATACTGTATATATACTGTATGTGTGTGTGTGTGTGTGTGTGATTTTTTTCATTTAATTTTATGTTGTACTTTTGTTTCATGGGTCTTTTATAGTAGTCTTATAGTAATTTCACTCATTAAAGAATTAAAAATTAAATAAAACATTATTATTATTATTATTTTAATCTTAAAAATCAAAGGTCTGTATATATTTTAATTGCTACAAAATTTCCATCCATGTGCACTACACAGTTTTAACATAAACTAATAAATTTAATGTGATTCATGCATAAATGAAACAGGTCAGATTTCTCTTCTGTAATAGTACTTATAAACTGAATGAGTTTCAAATACACAATAACCAGGTTTATATGTTTATCATCAATAAATCCAACTCGTTTCAATCTCCTGCATCTTAACTAATTAAATATTGCTTGTTTGGAATAAATGCATTTTGAAAATAGAATTATTTCAATAGAATCGATGTAAATAGTTAATAATAAACTAAGCCATGATTTTTGAGTGCAGAAATCTGACCTGTTTCATTAATGTAGGACTGACAAATATGCACCACGTTACGTTTATTAGTTTATGTAGAACTGTGTAATCCAAATGGATGCACATTTTATATGCAATTCAAATACATAAATCTTACATTTAGGCTTAAATATTTGAGGGTTCAAGTCAATGGCAAGTGGAAAAGACCACAAATACACAATAACCAGGTTTATATGTTTATCATCAATAAATCCAACTCGTTTCAATCTCCTGCATCTTAACTAATTAAATATTGCTTGTTTGGAATAAATGCATTTTGAAAATAGAATTATTTCAATAGAATCGATGTAAATAGTTAATAATAAACTAAGCCATGATTTTTGAGTGCAGAAATCTGACCTGTTTCATTAATGTAGGACTGACAAATATGCACCACGTTACGTTTATTAGTTTATGTAGAACTGTGTAATCCAAATGGATGCACATTTTATATGCAATTCAAATACATAAATCTTACATTTAGGCTTAAATATTTGAGGGTTCAAGTCAATAGCAAGTGGAAAAGACCAGTGTGTGTGTGTGTGTGTGTGTGTGTGATGAAATGAACTGGAGTCCCACAGCCTTAAAGCAATTACCATAGCATGGATCTATGTGCTAAATCAATTAGCAATATGCTTTTAATGAGGTCAGGGTTGAGTCTGGCAGCTTTCCCGACGCAAATCTAATCAAATGGCCTTTGGAATGAGAAAGTCTTTCAGCAAATCCTCTTCTGTCGTAAATTATCGACGGCGGCTCTGAGGTTACCAGTGGTTCAAAGTCTTCAGGCCTTGTGTTTTAATAAAAAATGAAAGCCTTCAGGTGCTTTGTTATGCTTTTAATGAAGAAAATGCCCAAATCACAGAGAATTTAGTTTAAATAAAGGCCGATGTAACATTCAGAACAAGTTCATTTTCAGTAGCTGAGTCTGAAATATGAGCGCAGAAGCCTAAAGCATGAAAACTGCTCTAAAAGGTCAGATGTGTTTACAGCTGCGTTTATCAGACTGGAGTGCTTTATCTGAGGTTGTCTATATTGTTGTGCTGTAGACTTTGCTCTCTGCTAGTGACAATATTTAAAAACAATATTATGGTGGATACAACACAATCTATTTTAGAGTGTACATATGCTAAACATTTTTAAGCAGTAGTTCACTTAAAAATTAATATTTCCTGTAGATGAGTTTGTTTCTTTATGGGAACAGATTTGGGGAAATGTAGCATTACATCACTTGCTCATTAATGGATGCTCTGCAGTGAATGGGTGCCGTCAGAAGGAGAGTCCAATAATCCACACCACTCCAGTCCAGCAATTAACGTCTTGTGAAGTGAAAAGCTGCATGATTGTAAGAAACAAATCCATCATGTTTGTTTCTTCTTTGAACTGTTGTTTCTGGCTAAAATATGAGTCCTCTATCAATAATATTGCTTTCTCCAGTGAAAAGGTGGTCTCGTCTGAATCAGGAGAAAAATATGCACAGATCGAGCACCGTTTAAAAGCCAAAACAGTTGTAAACAGATATGTGGGTGGATTGTGTGATGTGAGAGGACAGCAGGAGATGGACTCTTACACTAGAGGAAGTGTTTTTTATGGATTATAGACTCATATTTTGGCAACGGTATTACGTTTAAATGCCTTAACGAGCAGGTCATATGGGTTTTTGAAAAATATCTCTTTTGCAGTTTATAACGTAGCTATCCTTAAATGGAAACAATCTGCAAAGTTGTTAATCAAAAAAGTGCATGATAAATAAAGATATTGTTTCTCAAAAGAGAGAGTCGTTTCTGAATCGCCTTAACGAGTCGTCATATTTTTGAATCTTTTGCCTGTTACCGGTCTACGTCACTGGGTAACACATTTGCATAATCCCCGCCTGCCCGCGAGTCTGACCTGCCCACAAACACTTCCGCTAGTTACTGTGTTTACATCATGTGGAGAAGACGCTGTGTTCAAGGATACCACAGAAATACAATTCCAACCTTTTGTTGTGTGTGCTTGTCATTTTACCGAGGACTGCTTCTCTAATCTTGGCTTTTATCTTCGTTGGCTTCTAATCTTTTTAATTTGGACTAGCGAGCTCTCCGAACCACAACCTGTAAGTACGATTGATACGTGATGTGTACAGGTGATGTACACCTAGTGCAGCTTTAGGTTTCCAGGTAAAGTACGATATTACTGTCTTACTGAAGTCTTTCTGATCATTCGCTGTGGACCCACTATTTCCTAAGAATGTGTCGATTAACGTAGACTGACGTTGTTCTAATAATTACTTCGTTTAATAATAAAGAATGTAGTGTAGCGCACAGACTTTATAATCATTGTGAAATTGCTGTTTATTTTGTTGCACCAATGGTAGCGCTCGCTAACTTGCTCAAGGACTCCTCTCTGTGCCAATCACAGCAGGCTTGGCCAGCTGACCAATCAGAGTAGAGTAGGCTTATGGAAGGGAGGGGTTTGCTCCGAACTTGCTTGGAACGAATCGTTTCGAAATCATTGGCAAATGACTCTAATATTAAATGTATATTCTGAGAAAATTACAATGTTTTCTGAACTTAGATGCATTTAAACCTGTTGTAGGGGACTCCAACACAATATTAGGACACTTTAAAATACCATATGACCTGCTTTTTAAAGATAGATTTGTTTCTTACAAACACGCAGCTTTTCGCTTTACAAGTAGGGGTGACTCTGATCAACTCACGATGCGATATGATTCACAATACTGATTTCACAATATGATTTTCTCACCATTTTATTAACAAAATGTGATTTGAGACAAATTATAAATGAAATGGTGTCTTTTTGTTATTTCTCAGACAAATGCGGCACAGCTCTTTGTGAAATTGAAATATGTCCAATAACAAAACGAAACTGATTGAACTTTTTAAAAGAAATCCCAAATAAAATAAATAATACAAAATTCAAGAAATATAAACAAGCTAAAGCTTTGCCTGTGCTCTTTCCATTTAAAATAAGAGGAAACCACTGCGTTTTAATCACGATCCAGACAAAGTTGCTGCACACATGCAGTTTTTTATAAGTTAGATTATATAATTTCGAAATCTGAAGCAGAAACAGAATATTTTGACTTTAGCTTTGTGAAACTATACTATACAAAATCTGAAAGAAACAGAAACAGCAGACGGGCCGAATGAGATGCAAATTCACTCTCTAACAGCAGGTGGCGCTTTTGGAACAGCAGTGATACAGCGTTTCCTTGGTTACCGCTATAAACAAAGCAGCCCCCCCCCCATTTGTATCGCAATTCGTTTAACATCTCAACTAACTTGAATCGTCACATATTTTTATGATTTTCAACCGGCTTGTGGTGCATCGTTGCTTGGACTCGCATTCTGACGGCACCCATTCACTGCAGAGGATCCAGTCTGTCTGTCTGTCTGTCTATATCTATCTATCTATCTATCTATCTATCTATCTATCTATCTATCTATCTATCTATCTATCTATCTATCTATCTATCTATCGTCAGTCTGTCTATCTGTCTATCTATCTATCATCGTCTGTCCTGTAAAACATATAAATTATATACACATACATTTCTATTCATTCATACATATTATTTATAATAGAAAATAATGTGTCTGTCTGTCTGTCTGTCTGCCTGTCTGTCTATATCTATCTATCTAGCATCGTCTGTCTGTCTGTCTATCTGTCTGTCTGTCTATATTTATCTATCTATCTATCTATCTGAGCAGCATATAGTGCACTAATCGCTGGGCTCGTCCCTCTGGAGAAAGACACTGTAGTAATGATTTGATGGGCGCTTCTGCCAGGTGTTGAATGCACTATTTATTCAGCATTAGCGTTAGCAAAAGTGAGGCTTTTAATGACAAACACCAATAGCAATACAGTCATATTTATTTATTTATTTATTTGTTTGCTTGTATGTATGAATAAAATGGAGCTCTAAAAAAAGCTAGTTTTTAGAAACTGTAAAATTGTAAGATTTAAATATTTGTCATATGTTATTTATATTAAATAGTATAATGTTTATATATAAAATAATTTTATATACTAAAAATTATTATAAATTATATTATAAAACATATAAATTATATACACATACATTTCTATTCATTCATACATATTATTTATAATAGAAAATAATGTGTCTGTCTGTCTGTCTGTCTGTCTATATCTATGTATCTAGCATCGTTTGTCTGTCTGTCTATCTGTCTGTCTGTCTATATTTATCTATCTATCTATCTATCTATCTATCTGTCGTCTGCCTGTCTGTCTGTCTGTCTGTCTAACGGTCTATTAGTCATTCCCTTCTCAGAACTGATTTAACTGTAATTTCAGTAGAAATACAAGAAGAAACAAATACCGTGGAAACCAAAAATTCCACAATTGTTACTATTTTTTATTTTAGCGCTATACAACGATAACAAATTGGTATGAGAAGTACTTCAGCAGCACTGTGTGAAGCTTTAGGCTTTTCTGTCTTTTTATTTTTTTTTAATTAGGCACTGACGTTTTTAGTGACTAATATAAACACGATTGTATTATACAATAGTATGTATTTTTTTTAAGTTTATATAATGCCTATCTTCTACTTTACCTAATAGTTTTATCATATTCGGTTGTTGTTTTTATCTGTTCGCGTGACATGTGTGAGTGTGACGCTATTGCGCAGGCGTCTATCTATCTATCTATCTATCTATCATCTGTCTGTCTGTCTGTCTGTCTGTCTGTCTGTCTGTCTGTCTATCTATCTATCATCGTCTGTCTGTCTATCTATCTATCATCCTCTGTCTGTCTGTCTGTCCGTCCGTCCGTCCGTCTGTCCGTCCATCCATCTATCTATCTACATATATGTCAATGAAAAAATCTTTCTCTTTCTCTATATAATGATTTAATGTACTATGTAATTATTATAAATATTAAAATGTATTATTTATTATATTTTTATTATATAAATGTATCATTTATTATAAATAAAATTATACTATTATTATAAATATATGTATTGATTTTATGTACTAAAAATTATTCTGAATTATATAATAAAATATGTAAATTATATTATAAATTTCTATGAATTATATATACATACATTTATATACATGCATACATAATATTATTGGTTTAAAACAACAAATTATTTTCATAAAATTATTTATTTATATACATGAATTTATATATGTATATACAGTATGATGAAAAATTGAAGGTAATGTTTACGTAACACATTAAAATGTGCGGTTTCTCATTAGAAAACCATCTAAATGACATTATCTCCTCTTGTCTTCAGATATGGCATTCTGGTGGACCCCATCCAGATCATCTCTCTCTTCCTGAAGGACCCGTACAGCTGGCCGGCTCTGTGCCTGATCATTGGTATGATGAGTGTGTGCTTTGTGACCGACAGTAGATTCATTCAGATCAGCTCAAGCTGAAGACATCATTTCACACCACATTTACACTTTCTGTCATGCATAATGTAAGATCATAAAAATCCACGTCAATATTCCATGCATGCTCACTTCAATATGCCATGTCTAATCTGTTTGCTTTTGCAGTTTCCAATGGCTTTATAATGGCAGCTTTGTACATAGAGAGAAAGCTATCCGTGGTGAGTTGCATGCTGGGAATGAACTGTGTGATTACAGACATGGACTTACAAATATAACCGATTACACTATTACAAATAACCGATACACGAAGAGTGAATCTCACAATCCAGACAAAATCATGTCCAGATCACATTTTACCTCAAAATTAAAAATGTTTTTTTAAAAATAAAACTAAGCTTTTTCTTTTTAACTTTTAAGGTTTTCTTTGCATTGTGACATTATTCACATGACAGTTAAGCACATTTTTATCTAATTCTTATTATTGCTATGTGAAAATATCCCATTCTCATTACTGTAATGCAAAAAATATATATAATAAATTATGACAAATTATATAAATTATAAAATATTTGTTATTTGTGAATAAACAATAACAAAAAATTAAATATTAAAAACTTACTTATTATTTTATTTTAGCTTTGTAAGTATGTTTTGCAACATTTCTCATTTTTGTTTAATTTAAGTTAAATTCTAAATATAGCTAAAACTAAATAAAGTACAAATAAAAACTAAAACTTAATAAAAAAGCATATAGACATATTAAAAACAAAAAATAATAGTAATAATAAAAAAAATACTGAAAATGACAAAAGACTTAATTACTAAAACCTTAACTAAAATTAAACGTAAATGTAAAGTCTACAATATAAAATGAGATTATTATTATTATTATATATTATATAAAATACAAATACAAAATCTATGAAATATATATATATATATAACTAATAAATCGGACAAAAACACAACAAAATGTCAAATATATATATAAAAAAACTAAAATGTATATATATAAAAAACATTTTAATAATAATTTTTAATTTCACATAACATTTTTCACATTTATTTATTTTAAATTTATAATATACATTTGTAGTGGGGATGAAATATGACCTAGACCTGGATTTGATTATTTATTGCAGGTTAAATGTATATCTGTTAGCACAAGTGCTTTTTATTGCTGGTTTGTTTTAATAGTCATGTAATTGAATTTACAGGGCAGCATCTCAGAGGGCACCGGATCATTCCTTCATGGCATCAATCTTTCAGCTCTGTTATTTGTCCCAGCCGGTACAGTTCTCAGCCTGACCTCTATAACCCCAGGTATCACAGACATCTTCCACCTGTGTTCAGATGTTCACACTAACACCTTCAACCTTCGGTCTTACAGGAAAACGTTGTTTCTCATGCATTAACTACCAAAACCTCTATCAGTGGCATTTTTTACTTTGTGACCATGTGATTTGGTTGTGGGTTTAACTAGAAAATGATGTTTGTTTTTTTATGTAATCCTTGTTGGCGTGTTGGAAATATATTGTTGTGTGAGTAATCATGCTGTCTCGTGGCTGTGTTTCAGTGGGTGGTGTTCTGGCGTTGAGTGTCTTCACCATTCTCTTCCTGAAGCTGTATTCATACAGAGACGTCAACAAATGGTGCAGAGAGATCAGACACGCCAAAGCCCGAACCCTGTCCCGCTCTCACTCCTGTGAGTAACACTCCAACCTCACCAAAAACTCACATTTTCATCATGCATTCATATCGGACATCAAGCAAATTCTAATATTCACATGCATTTCTGTGCATGAATGCAAATGCTTCTAGATACACAGTCTCTGTTGTGAAACGCATCATTGCACAAATCCTAATGCAAGTATGCAATGCATGTATAGCATGCATTAGAGCTAACATTACAATATATCCCTCTCCGTATGAATGCATTGTTTTGATTTGCATTGAATTGTTTATTTTGCACCAGTAATACCTGCCGCTTGTCCTCCTGTAGCACCTGCGGTTCATAAACCCTGTATTTTCTCATCTGTTGTTTGCTGTGAAGGGCTCTCAGTGTTTGTCTGAATCTGTACAAACAGACTGAGATGTGAGAGGCATTGTTTCTGTTTGCGTGAGCACTAACGCTGTGCTGTACTGCCACATGCATGCTGGACAAAGAACAACAGCACATTTAATGCAAACTTTACCATCAGCATCGTTTAAAAAAAAATAAAAGTGTGAGCTATGAACTGCCTAGCAACACAGATTGTTGTGTTTGGTCTCCTGGCAGAGAATATCTGAATGAATTCAGTGTGTGTTAATGTTTCATTTTCTCCCGCAGGCCCGTCTGTGCACAAAGCCAACGGCACGACCGGATACACACACGTGAGCTATCCAGCAAACCTCACACACAGAGGTCAGTCACTACACAACCTGTTTAATAAGGAATATCAGCTCGCTTGTAATTAAAATATCAATTCAAATATTTAAATGGAATTAATAACTAATTTATTTTATTATTTTGTTACAGACATTTATTATTTTATTTTCGTTCCAACTCTGTGTTACGAGCTGAACTTCGCGCGCTCTCCACGGATACGGAAGCGTTTCTTACTGCGCCGACTGCTTGAGATGGTGAGAGACAGCATGTGACCGCAGAAACTCATATTTACAGTTTGCACTTTCTGATAATGTTATACCTGTTTTTCTTTCTTGCAGGTGTTTTTAATGCAGTTGATGCTGGGATTAATACAGCAGGTATGCAAAGAGTAGTTTTAATTGAGCTTATTTGTGTGTGTATGGCATGATGTTTTTAATTACTCTTTTTTTTCTTTTAATAGTGGATGGTTCCAACGATTCAGAACTCAATGAAACCCTTTCAGGTAGAATCGCACTGTAAAGTCTATAATAGTCTGAAAAATCCAATTTCATAAAGGAACAGTTTATTGAACCTTTAGACAAAATACAAAAAAAAAAAGAGTTTGCATATGTGACCCTGGACCATAAAACCAGTCATAAGGGTCAGATTTTCGAAATTGAGATGTATACATACATGTGACCGCAGAAACTCATATTTACAGTTTGCACTTTCTGATAATGTTATACCTGTTTTTCTTTCTTGCAGGTGTTTTTAATGCAGTTGATGCTGGGATTAATACAGCAGGTATGCAAAGAGTAGTTTTAATTGAGCTTATTTGTGTGTGTATGGCATGATGTTTTTAATTACTCTTTTTTTTCTTTTAATAGTGGATGGTTCCAACGATTCAGAACTCAATGAAACCCTTTCAGGTAGAATCGCACTGTAAAGTCTATAATAGTCTGAAAAATCCAATTTCATAAAGGAACAGTTTATTGAACCTTTAGACAAAATACAAAAAAAAAAAAGAGTTTGCATATGTGACCCTGGACCATAAAACCAGTCATAAGGGTCAGATTTTCGAAATTGAGATGTATACATAATGTGAAAGCTGAATAAATAAGCTGTCCATTTATGTATGGTTTGTTAGGATAGGACAATATTTGGTCGAGATACAACTATTTGAAAATCTGGAATCTGAGGGTGCAAAAAAATCTAAATATTGAGAAAATCATCTTTAAAGTTGTCCAAATGAAGTTCTTAGCAATGCATATTAATAATCAAAAATGAAGTTTTAATATATTTACAGTTGGAAATTTACAAAATATCTTCATGGAACATGATCTTTACTTAATATCCTAATGATTTTTGGCATAAAAGAAAAATCTATAATTTTGCCCCATACAATGTATTTTTGGCTATTGCTACAAATATACCCAAGTGACTTAAAACTGCTTTTGTGCTGCAGGGTCACATCTGTGTTTTTGTTTAGTATCACATCTGATACATCAGGATTTTATGGCTCATATAGTATGATCTAGTGAGGATATGGAGAGAAAAAATACCTCAGTTTTATTCAAAAGCTCAAACTGAGCAAAAATATGCCAGACTACTGACTATAAAATAATATAAATACCAGCTGTCACTCTACATTTGTCAGTAATGTCTCATAAGATGAGATTTAAATGCTTACTGTTATGATCAAACCATATGTGCAATGCAATACAATTATGGTTGAGAGACGAACAAATAAACGTTCCTCAAAAGCCCGATGATCATATTTGACTCACATTTGAACATGATTTTTCTCATAAATGATGTAGTAAATCTAAGTAAATCTTCAGTCCAGTAAGTATTTGTCTTGAAATGTTACTAACAATTTAAAAGGTGTTCTTGTTTACTTTATAAAAATCAGTAAAGATTTCAGAGCAAGAAGACCTGTGAAGCACGAGCTGAAGGTGGACGTTTGTATAAAGATGCTAAAAAGTATAAACTATCAATCAGATGACAGAAAAATGCATTTAAATTGTCCAGGGTTTGAACACTTTGTACTGGTTAGGCATACAGAAATACTTCTTTAACATGTTGTTTTTATCTATTTTTTATTTTTATGCGTTGATTGAACATAAAGTCTCTGTCTCTTTAAACAGGACATGGATTTCACTAGAATCATTGAACGTCTGCTGAAGCTCGCTGTAAGTGTCCGGAGAAACCAATGCAAACAGATGCTGTTGTTGTCATGGATGGACTTTTGTTGCTAGAGCTTTTGCAGGTGCTGTTGATATGGCTGCTGTTGCTATAGCTTTCACTGTGGCACTTGCTGTTGCTTGCAGCTTGCAGTTTTCCCTGTAGCTGATCAGCTCAGTACAGTCATCATTAAAGGGGTCATATGACGTTGCTAAAAAGAACATTATTTTGTGTATTTGGTGTAATGCAATGTGTTTATGCGGTTCAAGGTTTAAAAAACACATTATTTTCCACATACTGTACATTATTGTTTCTCCTCTATGCCCCGCCTTTCTGAAACACGTTGATTTTTACAAAGCTCATCGGTCTGAAAAGCGAGGTGTGCTGTGATTGGACAGCTATCCAGTGCGTTGTGATTGGCTGAATACCTCAAGCGTGTGACGAAAATGTTACGCCCCTCACATACTGTTGATGCCGTGTCCCGGCCGGAGCGATGAGACAAAAACATTAAAACCCATTATAAACGAGGCATTTGTTGCATCCAGTGGGGACATAATTACTGATTATAATGACTTGTACTGTCTTTTTACGCAAACTTACTTACAGGCTGCGAGTCAGAAGCGCCAGACTGTCCTTGCAAAGTTGGAACTGCCCCACTTTATAGAAACAGACAACGGCATTGTAGGCTACTCTCACAGGAAACAGTCCTCAACCTCCGCAAAATGTGCATCACACATCTGAATATTTGGGTTGAAGTGTTCTGGAACAGTGTTGTAAATACAACTTAACCACTGATTTCTAGTCGTGTCCTCTTTTGGAAGACCAAACAAAGTAGTTTCACTTTCATAACGAAACACACAGCGCCTTCACGACATGGCAGCGACGGCAACAATACTACAGCGAGAATAAAAGTTATGCCTTCTTTCTTTACGTGAACATTTGGGCGGCGTTATGCAAATCTTCCCACACAGTGATGTAGACATGTGGGGGCGTGTTAGAACGAGCCGTTTTAGGGGGGCGTGGACGAGTCTTAACTTTTATAAAGAATATCTCTTTGGATTTGAGACTTTAGTCTTTGCAACTTTACAGATCTTCTTTATGCACCAAGAGCTTGTAACACTCCAAAGAGAAAGGAAAACTTGAAATCGCATCATATGACCCCTTTAAACAATATGAATAGGATTCTGTAGAGGCAGCCAGTGGTTATCATAGAAATCAAAAATAAATGGACAAAAAAATATTGTAAATTATTGTATTTCATTAAAACAGAATTATACAGTTTAGCACTATAAAAAACGTTTAAATGCTGAATGCCACGATTGACCAATCAGAGGGGTCTGTGGCCCCTCCTCCTCAGAGTGTCTAATGGCACAAGCCCCACCCCTTCTTCCTGTCCCTCTACAGGTGCCCAATCATTTCATCTGGCTCATCTTTTTCTATTGGTATTTCCACTCCTCTATGAACTTCGTAGCTGAGCTCATGCTGTTCGGAGACCGCGAGTTTTACCGCGATTGGTGGTGAGTGGCTTCCTCCGCCCAGAGCTGATTTACACCTAGCAATACCTGCAGTATGTTAAAGTATCTTAACATTTAAACGTCTGTTTACACCAAGGATGATAACTATAAAAATATCTTCTATGAGAATAGAGAAGTCCACACTACAACTATAAAGACAGAGAAGAAATCAATAAAACAATAAAAACATTAACAGCCAATCAGAATCCATCCTTCTTTAAAAAGTTAACGGATTTAAAGTGGCAGACAACAAAACTGCAGCGTGAGCTTATAATAAACATAACGTTATCGACCGTTGGTTTGGATGCTATATAATCTTAGTCGTTATCGATTGTAATTTAAACAGTCCTAAATCGTAAGACAATAGCAAAATCTAGTCTAGACAGAGAAACAATATCTTTAGATATGGAAGCCTGTTTCAGTCACAAAATAAAAAATAAAAAAGGTAATTGCAACTTTTCTTCAGACTTTTTTCTTGCAATTATGACTTTTTTCTTGCAATTCTGAGTATATGTATCCCAATTCTGAATTGTTTCTCACATTTCTGAAAAATTGAGAGATGTTAACTTGCAATTGCGAGAAAAAAAAGTCAGAATTCTGAGTTTATATCTCGCAATTTTTTTTTTTACCAGAATTGTGAGAAACACAAGTTTTATTAGTTTTTTTTTCGTTTGTGAGAGAAACGGGCTTCCACATTTGTAATCACTTTCAGAGTGATTTAGTTCCACCTGATGAAAGATAAAAACATTGACAGCCAATCAGAATCCATCTGACTTTAAAGAGTTTGAGCATTCAAAGTGGCAGACGGCAAAAGATAAAACATTGTTGTGCATTTGGTGTGGATGCTCATTTCATGAGAAAAAGTTTTCACACTGTAAGTGTAATTAATGAGCTTTTTGTTCGCAGGAACTCTGAAACGATTCCGTATTTTTGGTCGAACTGGAACATTCCTGTTCACAAGTGGTGCCTACGGTGAGCTGGGGTTATCATCACTTTGTGATTGGATTTGTCTGTTATTTGTGTGCCAGAGGCGCTTTTTTTGCAGCAGTGTTGAGCTTTGTGTTCATATATTACGACAGAAATCAGTTCGGAGATAAGTTTGTTGTGTCTGTTCATGTCATACTGTAGTTTGTTCATTGATTTCTCATTCTGTTTCCCCTCAGACACTTTTATAAGCCCATGTTGGTGAAAGGAGTAAATAAGTTTGCAGCTCAGTTAGCCGTGTTCTTCCTGTCGGCATTTTTCCATGAGGTTTCATTCCACACTTACATTGCTACACTACAATTTACAGTCACGTTAGACTTTTTTCTTGTTTCTTTAATAGTCCTGATAATGTTTTATGTCATTTTTGCCAGTATTTAGTGAGTGTCCCTCTAAAGATGTTTCGGCTCTGGGCGTTTCTGGGAATGATGGCACAGGTCAGTCTTAAATATTCAATATTGCTTGTTGAATGTCAAATAAAATTCCTCATTTCACATTCTCTTTCCTGTTTCAGATCCCGCTCGCCTATTTTGTGGGCCGATTCTTGAGGGGAAACTACGGCAACGCCGCCGTCTGGATGTCGCTGATCATCGGCCAGCCGATCGCCGTGCTCATGTACGTCCACGACTATTACGTGCTGCATTATGGGAGTGCGGCGGAAGGCGTCGCCGCATGACAAAACCATATCTGCAATAACCGAGATGTTGAATGTAAAAACAATGCAAAAATTTAGAAGGGAAATATTAGATTTTTAACAGACTTCAGCCCAAATCAAATGTGATCCGAAAGACTTGAGCAGGTGTGTTTTATAAGGTGCAATCTAATGTTAACACCACCGGGCCAAAGCAGCACATCATTGCAATGCCTTCTCACTAATGTTTCACGCTTGACATTTTCATACCAAGATGATCCATTCAAAGAGGCGCAAAATCGAAAGTGTTTGTATTCTTCCGAATGCATTACAGAAGGGAACTCATTTGTGTCTGTAATTTAAATGTAATCTTTTTTTTTTATTCTTTGTGCTGTTGCTTTGGTGGTGTGATTGACTGAATCTGTGAGTTTTTGCACTTTATTCAGAAATGCATGACGTTTGTCAACCTTTTAAAGGCTAATTTGAAGAATGTAACTGCTTTTATGTTGATTTCAATACTTGCTGATCAATTTTAGTTTCTGAAAAGAGACGTATAAATACATTATATCAACATTGTACATGAATCTGGGAAATTGTTAAAGCCAAAATTTTATGTTGTGCCATTTAAATTGCCAGCAGTGTTATTTAAATGGGATTTAATGGGATTCAAGCACCAATAGGGCCAAGAAAGATGTAAGATGTCCTAGATAACGATATAACTGTTTCACAGAGGAACGATATCGTTGAAACCATCACAGCCTATCAGAATCCATCCTAACTTGAACAAGCGCAAACATTTAAAGCGGCAGATGACGTTATGGTCTGTTTGCGTGGACACACTCTAAAAAATGATGGGTTGTTTCAACCCAACTTTGGGTCAAATATGGACTAACCCAACTTTTGGGTTAAAAATTGAAAGTAAAAATTTAACCCAAAGGTTGGGTTAGTCCATATTTGACCCAAAGTTGGGTTGAAACAACCCATCATTTTTTAGAGTGCACTGATGTAGTTATAGTTGTTGGTGTGTGAACAGACCTTTATTCTGAACTTCATCACTTTGTTTTTTCAGGGGAATATTCCTGAGAATACTGAGATTTTTATATACCAAACCAACCGCAAATAATGGACACCAAATAAGAAGTGAGGCTGTATTTTGCCAAATATTTGACTTAAAACTTGGTACCAGACCTTTGGTGCATCCTGATTGGTCAAATATATATATATTCTCATATACTGTGAAGAGATTATACAGAAATAATTATTCTGTTGGCATCTGGTTAAAACATTTCGACTGCCGCGGTGCTTGGTCCCATTATTTGTGCGTGTTTGTTTTTTTTGGATCTCATAATTTACCATGCTTATGATAATACTAAGATGTAAATTTACTTTATTCCATTGTAACTGCTGCAATCAGGTGTGATAGATTTGTTTGAAGAGTTTTTGAATTACATTTGAAGTACCTTTCTACAAAACATTTGACAGATAGATTTAATAACCAGCAGATTTTTCCTGTGAAAGCCAAAGTTTGTAACCGAAGACACGTTACATTTTCCCTGTACGGTTTTGGCAGCTCATGTTCCAGTTTAATAAATCTTTTCAAACATCAGCATATCTAGTTGTGTATGAAATATGATGTGACGATATCTAGAGAAAATTGCTTTGTTCCCCTTTTGTATGTCGCTTTGACGCATAAATGTAAAATAATCAGAAAAAGATCGGGGTTCACTTTGTGCATATAAAATATTTATTCAGCAGATGGAAACCAATCACATAGATCCGAAAAACAACAAAAAGACAGTGCCACTAGAAATCCATCCTATATGAACGTGTGTAGATAAAAGAAAGAGAGGAATCCCATCTGCTGTGTCACTGCTGTGGAGAAAATACACGAGATTAATACACAACGGTGTAAAGATATGATTCCGCACATGAGCAGGCATGATGAAGCTCACCTTTGCTTTGTTTTGTACTGGTAAATAGAGTTTAAATTCAGCGGGGAGCTCGTCCTCAGAGTACAGCCGGTCAGAGAAATACACCCTCCTGATGCGACAGTTTGCGTGAATCTGAAAGACACGAGGACAGGACAGGACAGCCATCATCAACCCCATAAACCCCTGAATCACAGTCTTTAGTTTCAAGCTATCTCTAATAACAGCTTATATCATGAAGGTTTGCTGACATTAGAAATTATTTTTGTATTGGCAGATTTTAAAAGCACTGTTATTCATTCTTTCATATATATATATATATATATATATATA